TATATATATATATATATATATATATATATATATATATATATATATATATATATATATATACTCCTAATAAATAAATAAATAATATATATATATATATATATATATATATATATATATATATATATATATATTTATATATATATATGTGTGTGTGTGTGTGTGTGTGTGTGTATGTATGTATGTATGAGTGTGTTTGTTTGTGTAATATTCATAGAATACTTTGATTTTTCTTTTTTTTTCATACTTTTTTCCCAGAGAGAGGAATAGATCATAAACCAGAATCTCCTCAAAAAACTTGTTATGAAATCAAAGATATCTTAAGCACTTTTGATGAAAGTTTTGGTAAGTAGAATTTTCTATATTGTATTATACAGAGATTATACACATATTTAAAAAGTATTATATCAAATATTGTTTTATGGACTCAGGCTTCAAAACACTATCTATATTCTGAGTTACAAACACATTTATTTTGGGTAAATACAACATTTAAAGTGTGTGTATGATTGTATGGATATGTGTAATATATTTTGTTAAAGATGCTAAATCTCTTATAATATCTACAGGCCAATGCAAATCACCAGTGCAGATATTCCAGGGAACACTTCAAACATCAAAAAATGAAATTGGAGATAGTCGTATGATAATTAATTTTCTTTTATGTAGTTATACAATTATGTAATGTATGCTACGTCATTAATACATTTAGTGAATTATTTCTTTTGATTATTATAAAAATAGCTAAAATATGTATGTTCCACTATAAGACATTTTTGATTATTTTTTCTCTTACCATCAGATGACCCTGAAGAGAGTAATTTTGAAACAGTGAAAGAATGAATTGGCAATTCCTTGCTCAAATAGTTCAGTGCCAGTCCACAATTATTCCTTATTATCACTATTTCAGATAAAGATAATGGTGCTGATTTTCTTTATGAAGAAAATGCCTACCAAGGAGAGTTAATGCTCAACTATGACAGCCCTGTTGGTGCAGAAGAAGGCAGTTGCGAGTATCCCATCTTTCTCTCTCTCTCCAAGGGGGAGAGAGAGAGAGGCCTATTTTAATTAACACAACATTTGTGTTATAATTCTTGTGCACGGAAACATTGATTAAATTTTTCATATTCAGATGAAAGGTAATTAATTATTTATTCTATATTTGAAATATATTACCAGTGATAAACAGATATAACTTGATTTCTATATGAAATGCAATGCTCTTTCTCTGCTTTTATTTCATTTAACCTGAACAATTAGTATAGGCCATAAGTATGAATTTTTTTGAATTTTTTTTTTTTATGTTTTTATTTTTTTTTATTTATTTATTTTTTTTCATTAATAAGATGAGGACAGTAACCACACGCAAGAAGGTAAAGCAATTCCTACACATGACAATTCTAATATGATTGAAGTTCCGCAGCTAAGAATGGCAGATGAAGGCAACTGTAAGTAATTTTATTGTTGTGTGTTTTCCATTTTCCCTTTTAAGAGGTCATACACACACACACACACATATGCACACACACACATATGCACACACACACATATGCACACACACACATATGCACACACACACACACACACACACACACACACACACACACACACACACACACACACACACACACACACACACACACACACACACACATATGCACACACACATATGCACACACACACATATGCACACACACACATATGCACACACACACATATGCACACACACACATATGCACACACACACATATGCACACACACACACACACACACACACACACACACACACACACACACACACACACACACACACACACACACACACACACACATATGCACACACACACATATGCACACACACACATATGCACACACACACATATGCACACACACACATATGCACACACACACATATGCACACACACACATATGCACACACACACATATGCACACACACACATATGCACACACACACATATGCACACACACATATGCACACACACACATATGCACACACACACATATGCACACACACACATATGCACACACACACATATGCACACACACACATATGCACACACACACATATGCACACACACATATGCACACACACACATATGCACACACACACATATGCACACACACACATATGCACACACACATATGCACACACACACACACACACACACACACACACACACACACACACACACACACACACACACACACACACACACACACACACACACACATATATATATATATATACATACATACATACATACATACATACATACATACATACATACATATATATATATATATATATATATATATATATATATATATATATATATATATATATATGCATATACATATATATGTATATATATATATATATCTGTGTGTATAAAGATAGATATTTTTTTTTATAATATTATTATTATTAATATTATTAATATTATTATTATTATTATTACTAATATTATGATTATTACTTTATGCTACATTTTTTCATTTAAGGCATGTGTTTTAGGTTTTTGTTTACATACTTAAGATTTTCCTATTTCACATTATTGTAAATCTTCACAACTGAATTAAATGCTAATTCAATTTTCACTATTTTGCACTGTTACACATGTTAATGTGTCAGTGAAACAATGCATTTTTTAATAATAATTTTTTTGTTTGTTTAAACCCCAAAGTTCAGCCGATCTCTTTCTGTGAAACATTCGTCAATACATTGCACTATTAATTAACAGTCAAACATTCTCACAGGTAAAGCACATCTTTCAACAACAAAATGCTGCTCAAAGGAAAAAAAATAAAAAATAAAAAAATAAAAGCTTGTCAGACAAGAATTAGAGGATTATTTAATGTTCATGACATAACAACCATTTTTTTTAGGACATCAGTGATATATTGGTGAGTAATTTTGAATTTGTTTGCTAGTTTATGTATATACTTTTTTGTTTTCATTTTTGTATTTTGTTTTCTTTTATTATATGATTTGTTTCTTTTTGATTGCAGTCTGATATGTTACTATTATTTTATTGTATTGTTATATTCTGTTCTTTTGCTTTTATATCTAATTTTATAGGCTTGATGTGTTCCTTAGATGTCATGTTAAGTTATTTAAAGGTGTTTATACAATCCTACGTCTGTTTCTCCTGCATGTTTTTGTTTTTTGATTGCCTTTCGTTCTAGTTTGCAATGGTAATATGATTTTGTTTGCAAGTATTACCTTATTTGCATGATTACATCTAAGCATGACTAATTGCTCATCTTGCATGCCATGTTTATTTATTCTTTTGTGATTTGAGACTTTGCACACTTTTTCTTTGCTTGTCTTAGTTTGCTAATTTTTGTTAATTGTTATTATTTGTTTTATTTGTTGTAAATGTACCTTTGTTTTCTTATTATTTTGTTGTTGTTGTTGTTTTGTAAGAGACAAAATAAACAATGTTTGAACATACTGCTTACTACTTTTATCCTTTGGGTAATTTACTTGCTTATATGGCATCAGCACTGATTTGAAAAAAAAAAACTCCATGGTGTTGAAAGTATAATACAGTCATTAGTAATTGTTTAAAAATATATATATATATATATTTATATATATATATATGTATATATATATATATCTATATATATATATATATTATATATATATATATGTATATATATATATATATAGATATATATATATATATATATCTGTGTGTATAAAGATAGATATTTTTTTTTATAATATTATTATTATTATTACTAATATTATGATTATTACTTTATGCTACATTTTTTCATTTAAGGCATGTGTTTTAGGTTTTTGTTTACATACTTAAGATTTTCCTATTTCACATTATTGTAAATCTTCACAACTGAATTAAATGCTAATTCAATTTTCACTATTTTGCACTGTTACACATGTTAATGTGTCAGTGAAACAATGCATTTTTTAATAATAATTTTTTTGTTTGTTTAAACCCAAAAGTTCAGCCGATCTCTTTCTGTGAAACATCCTCCTATACATTGCACTATTAATTAACAGTCAAACATTCTCACAGGTAAAGCACATATTTCAACAACAAAATGCTGCTCAAAGGAAAAAAAATAAAAAATAAAAAAATAAAAGCTTGTCAGACAAGAATTAGAGGATTATTTTTAAAAAATGAAGGTTTAAATAAAATTGTTAAATCACCATGTAAAAAATGTAGTATACCATCACATATTATAGAAAATGCTTCAAAATACCTCAGTGGAACTGCTTTAGAATCGTTCAAAGCTCAGATGCAGTATGCAAATACTAAAAAGAAGGCAAGGAGATATTCACAAGTTCAAAGGAGTTTTGCTCTTGGCCTATATTTCCAAAGTGTGAGGGCATACCGATATCTTTCAAAGATATTTAATTTACCAACTACTAGAATGCTCCGTTACTGGTTAAGTATGGAAGTTGGTTGGAATGAGCCCATCCTTGAATTATTAAAGAGGAAAGCACCTTTGATGTCTGATCAGGATAAGCTATGTGGTATCACATTTGATGCTGTGTCACTAAAGTGTGGATTATTTTATGACAAAACTAAAGATCAAATAATTGGTTTTGAGGATTTAGGGGAATATGGTGCCTCAACTAAACCTGCAAAATATGCAATGGTCTTCATGGCCAATGGCCTATACAAAAAATGGATGGCAGCAGTAGGTTATTTTATTTTTGAAAAATCTATTAAACCAGATAACTTGAAGGCAATGATCACTGATTGCATAACAAAATTAAAGCTCTGGATTGCAGCCCAAATTCGTTGTATGCGATCAGGATGCATCTAACAGAGGTGCATTCAAATTGTTAAATATATTGCCAGAAAAAACTTATATTAAGGTAAATGATGAAAACATACTTTTTTATGACACACCTCACTTACTAAAGTGCACAAGGAACACATTTACAAAATATAACATTGAATTTGGTAATGGTACAGCCAACTGGCATCATGTTATTGATTTTTATGGAAAAGATAAAATGCAAGCAATAAGAATTGCCCCAAAACTCACAGATAGCCATGTAAATTTGAACTCATGTGAAAAAATGAGAGTTAATTATGCTTGCCAGATTTTTAGCCGGACAGGTGCTTCAGGCATACATTCATATGCAACCCTTGGAGGTTTGCCAAGGGAAACAGAAGCAACTGCAGAATTTATAAATATTATGAATGAGCTGTTTGATGTTTTTAATTCCAGCACAAAGCATCATTATAGAAGTAGGAAATGTGCAATTGCAAAAAACAACGACAATATAGAGTTTCTTAAAAAAGCAAGAGAATGGGTTATGTCCTGGAAAATTGTTGGAACAAACAGGTATATTCCCAGTGTCCATGGATGGCTTCTAAATATCGCATCTATACAGGCATTATGGGAAGATTTATCAATAAATAATCATTTAGATTATTTACTTACCCGCAGAATAAATCAAGACTGCTTAGAAAATTACTTTTACTGTATTAGGAAGTCAGGGGGTAATAATTATACCGCTAGCATTACAAACTTTATAAGTGCAACGAAAAATCTTTCATGCAGTAGTTTATTGAAAGATGCTGAAAATGGAAATTGTGATGATGACCGAACTCCATTGATAATTTTTGTAAAATACATTCACCAAGAACACCATAGTCCATCCCACAATGACAGTAGCCTTTCAAATGGACAGATAAATCACGAAATAAACACTGTAGGTAAATTAGATGAATCTGAAGAAGTATTACATAATAGTGATAAACATATTAGGAACTTTACTTCAACTATTCATTCAGCAGAACAACCAGAAGCAATTTCCCATGATTTTAATTGCATTGGAGACTTATTAGAAAATGTTGATTTTACTGTTGGTTGTGAAAATACAGTACCTGATTTTAGATCTGTTGATGGCTTGTTACAAAATTTCAATTTTGATATACCAAGTATAACATCAAATGAAAAGAGTAACCCAAATGATGGTAACATGACTTGCTTTGAGGACACAACTAGTTCAATTGATGATTGTAATGAATCTTTAGAAAATTTGATCATGAATTTTAATTATAATATCACAGATGAAGAAACAGATTCTGTTATTAGTCAATTTGATTACTCTCAAATTAATAATGAAGATGACTTCCCATTTTCACAGTTGATTGAGGATAATATAAATTTCCTATATTGCAGGGTATTGTTGCCCTAGGGTATTACATATCCATAAATGCATAAAATGCAAAAATAGTCTTGTAAAGAATTCAGATGAAATAGAAAGCTTTAGTTATCGGGAAACATTTTCAAAGAAAAAGGGCGAAGATAACCAAAGATATCTATGCCATCCAAATGAAATGCTGTTTGCAGTTATTAAAAAATATGAATATATTTTTCAGAAAAATATAGAAATGCTTATGCTCACTTCTGGGATAAGACATAAGTTATTATTAGAAATTCAGAAAGTTTGCCTGAAAAGTATATCACTGTGTAAAGATGTTGAGAAGATACTTGCTGATATATGAGAATATTGTATGTTCCTAAATTTTTCAATAAATCTTTACGAGGCAAAAGAAAAAATGCTTACACTCCACCAGCCAAATGTAGAAAATTAATGAAAATAAGCCATTTGTAATAATATATTCATGACATAACAACCATTTTTTTTAGGACATCAGTGATATATTGGTGAGTAATTTTGAATTTGTTTGCTAGTTTATGTATATACTTTTTTGTTTTCATTTTTGTATTTTGTTTTCTTTTATTATATGATTTGTTTCTTTTTGATTGCAGTCTGATATGTTACTATTATTTTATTGTATTGTTATATTCTGTTCTTTTGCTTTTATATCTAATTTTATAGGCTTGATGTGTTCTTTAGATGTCATGTTAAGTTATTTAAAGAAGGTGTTTATACAATCCTACGTCTGTTTCTCCTGCATGTTTTTGTTTTTTGATTGCCTTTCGTTCTAGTTTGCAATGGTAATATGATTTTGTTTGCAAGTATTACCTTATTTGCATGATTACATCTAAGCATGACTAATTGCTCATCTTGCATGCCATGTTTATTTATTCTTTTGTGATTTGAGACTTTGCACACTTTTTCTTTGCTTGTCTTAGTTTGCTAATTTTTGTTAATT